TTGTCTGCATCACCAGGCGGGCACCGCTCACCCGGGGCAGGGGAGTCGCTGGCTCAGCCCCGCCCCTGAGGGGGGACTCTGGCCTCGGCTGGTTCCCTGGCAGCGCTGTCCCCTCTGCAGGGGGTCATGGCATTGACCTGGTGGGGATGTGAAGACCCAGCGCCGTGTCGCGACGTGGCGAAGACCCAGCGGGTGTAGCTCCTCTCGGACAGTCGTGTGTTCCTCCTAAGAATGTTCCCACTTCTCAGACGGAGACATCACAACTCAAACTGAATTCGTCTCGCAGGCGGTAGAGCCAGGGTTCGGACCCGGGCCCGGAGTTTTAGAGCCGATGTGCCGGGGTCTCTCAGACACCTCAGAGCGCCATCCGTCCCCGCGCGCTGGTGAATGATGCCGCCCTGGCGGCCCTGCTTCCCTCGGCGCTTTCAGAGTCGCTCTCTGCTCTGTCCCGCCTCACCCATCGCGAGCTTTCCTGCCTGAAATCCCTTCTCCCAGCCCCGTGCCCTCCCCTTACACCTGGTGATCGATCAGTGAAGCCCGGCACCGGCGCCGCCTCCTGCAGGAAGCCCTCCCTGCTTGCCCCAGGCCGGCTCGGCCCTTCTGCTCTGTCCTGCCGTGGCTCCCAGGGGACTATGTTGTGCTCCTCGTAGGAGGCCTGGCAGAGCACCCGGCCATGTGGACATTCACCAGATGCAGAAGTGAAAAGTCGCCGACTGCAAACCAGGGTGGTTTTGGGAAAATCAGGTTAATTGTAATAACACAGTGTTCATAGTAAGCAATGAAACTCTCATTTAGACAATGTTTCCAGCCAGAGTCCTGGGAGGACCCCTGGGATTCCTGGAGGATGAGAGGCCCTGGTGGCCTTGGGGAACCGCCACCCCCACCCCCTCCAGCCATCGGTGTCACCGGCGGCGATCAGCTCTCCAAAATGCCGAGTTCTGGGGCCGTTTCTGCTCTCAGACCTTTTCTCATCGTTTGAACCTGCCTTTCTCTCTTCTTTTTTAAAATATGTATTGATTGATTGATTTCAGAGAGGAAGGAAGAGGGAAAGCGAGATAGAAACATCAATGATGAGAGAGCATGCGCATGCACACACACAACATGCCACACACATGCACATAGAGAGAGAATACGCCATGGAGCCCCCATGTTTCAGAAAGTTTCAGTATGAACTTAGCATTGATCATGGCTCGGCTGCCTCCTGCACGCCCCACGCTGGGGATCGAGCCTGCAACCTGCACATGTGCCCTTGACCGGGAATCGAACCCGGGACCCTTCAGTCCGCAGGCCGGCGCTCTATCCACGGAGCGGAACCGGCTTGGGCTCTCCCTGCTTTCTTTGGTTCACGGATCATTTGAGAACGTGATGCTGCCCCAGGGAGAAGTGTGGGGAGCATTGCTTCCCACGAGGAGATCTCATTTGTTTTGTTTGTTTTTACTCAGAAGGTATTCTCTCCCTCCTCTTAAATTACTTCTATCCATTTCTATAACAAGCTCTGAATTAATTTCTATCTGTGCTCATAAAATATAGATGAAACTTCCCAAGAGTGGAAACTATAAAGAATCATTCCTAGGCTTTTTAAAAAAGTTATAACACTTTAAGAAAATTAAATGCTGTTTATGATCATTCAGACGTTTAAAACAGTAAGTAGACTGGTAATTTCTTTTTATTTTGTTGCATTAAAATAATATGCAGCCTGGCCATGGGGCTCAGTTGGTTGCAGGTTGCAGGTTCAATTCCCAATCAGGGCATGTACCTGGGTTGTGGGTTCAATCCCAGTCCAGGCACGTATGGGAGGCAGCCAATCAATGTTCCTCTCTCTCTCCCTCCCTCCCTCTCTCTCTCTCTCTCTCTTTCTCTCTCTAAAATCAATAAAAACTTATCTTTGGGTGAGGATTTTTTTAAAATAAGGAACTATGAGCACTGAAAAATATATGAAAATATAGCCCTAGCCAGTTGCTCAGTGGTTAGAGCGTCAGCCCGCAGACGGAAGGATCTCGGGTTCAATTCCGGTCAGGGGTGCACACCTCGGTCGCAGGCTCCATCCCCGGCCCCTGGTCGGTGTTCCTGTCTCTAGAAATGAATGGAAAAAATAACATCCTCAGGCGAGGATTAACAATATACAGGTACACACACACACACACAACATGCCACACACACACATACACACACACATGCACACACGCACATAGAGAGAGAATACGCCATGGAGGCCCCATGTTTCAGAAAGTTTCAGTATGAACTTAGCATTCCCTCTCCACCCACCCACTCTGTTTCCTTCTCACCCACCCCAGCAGGAAGGAGGGAAGGTCCCCATGGTCACAGTGCTGTCACCTCCACCCATAGCTCCTCCTCCCTAAGTCCAGCTCTCCTCACACCTCTCGCTCACACACACACACACACACACACACCCTCACCCATTCCTCTACCCCATTCAGGTTTCAGATGTTAGGACAGAAACGTAATTGGGAATCTCCTAACTTGGCTTAGTTCGTCAGAAAAAAAGTATGAAGCTACAGCTACTTCTGAAAACAAAATTACTCAACAGAAAAATACTCTTTAAATGGGTTTTTTTTTAAAGTCATGCCTCCTGGTTGGTGGACTCGTGGCAGATTGTGTTTCTGTTTTGCGGTTTCTTCCTCCTCCATTGAAGCGATTTCCAACAGTGAGCGGGTGTCACTTTTATATTTTAATTTAAAAATAACCCCGAAAAGTGTCGCTGAAGAGGTCACGTGGAAGTGCC